TTGACCAAGGCTTATGATGTTGCTTTGTAGGCTGGGTATGTAGTACACATCGGTCAACAGGCGCTGCTCCCCTGTTTTCCCTTCAAGTAATACAGATCCCTTTCCTCGTATGTCAATACAAGATCCATCTCCAAACTTCACCTTTCCCGTGACACGTTCATTAAGTTCAAAGAAGTAAGCTTGATTACCGGTCATGTGATTCGATGCTCCGTTGTCGAGATACCAAATATCTTTCTCCTTTGGTTCAACCTCGAAACGCTTTGGAATCACCCCTTCTTCATTTAGAAAGACATTCTCTTGATCACATCTCATCATGAACAAAGATGGGTCCAGAACATCAATTTCAGCTAAATTAGCTTCCTCTTGTTTCTTCGTACGCTCCGAGCACACTGATGCAAAGTGACCGAATTTATCACATCGAAAACACTGAACCTTTGCTCTATCCTTTCTTCCCTTCTGACGATCATTGGTTATTCTTTGACCCGTTCGCTTTGACCCATGATCTTGACCATCTCGGCATTGACTTCCATCTTGGTCATCATCATCCTGGTCTTGGTCTCTTCCTCGACCTTGGTTGCATCGGCTTTGTCCCCTCGATCCGTTTTCTCCGCTTTGAGAATGAGAGCTTTCACCATTGGAGAATAATAATTTGCTCTGTGTTTCTATATCCTCTTCCTTGATTCGGTCTTCGTAGGCTTTTAACCGGCCTATGATTTCTTGAAATCCTAGTTTATTCAAATCTAGAACTTGCTCCAACGAGGCGACTATATGGATGTATTTCGAACGAGGAAGTAACTTTAGAAACTTCTTAACCATCTTTTTCTCTTCAATCTCTTCTCCAAGGGCTACGGATTTTGAGGCCAAACTTGATAACTTCTCAGCAAAATCATCAATTGACTCTGAATAATGCATCTTCAAATTATCAAATTCTGCATTTAGGGTTTGGAGACGAGCTTCTCTAACCCTCTCAGCCCCTAAGTGACGAGTTTTGATTGCATCCCGCAGATCCTTCGCAGTCTCCTCATTGCCTACCTGCAATATCAGATTTTCTGGAATTGATTGAAACAACAGTGCAGTTGCCATATCATTCTTCTCGGCATCAGCTGCGCGTGGTTCAATCGTTTCCCACACCTTATGAACCCTTAAGACGACTTTCATTCTCATGGCCCATACGGTGTAGTTCGTAGCGTTTAGCAAGGGACATTGGACAGCTGTAAGCCCAACTCCCTTAACCTTCGGATGTGGTGTCTCAGATTCTGTCATATTTTTCCTTGCGTCTACTGTATGTCACGAGTGGTGTAGCAGGATCCCGTACTTGCGTATTTTAGAGTAATTTGATTAAACCTACTTGTTTAATCCACTACCACAACAAAATAAAATAGAGGAGGCTGACAAAAATTGACTTTGGCCGTTTTTTTTATTGGCGATGGGATCAGATGCACAGTCGAAATTGCAGCGGCACCAATTCGGAATTGCAGAGGCACTTATGACGGAGTCGCGACTGGGAGACGGCGGCGGCTGCTCCTTACTGTGCGGCTGCCTATACCTGGACGACGGCGACTTGCGATCTGCGTGGCGGTTCTCCTTCTCGAACCAACGGCGGGATCCGATCAAATTGTCAATTTCAAGATCTCCTCTGCGTGCGATCCGACTCCTTTAGATCTCCAGCTGAAAAATAGATGCTCTTAGATCGGACAACGGAAATCTCAGATCTCCCTTCCCGGCGGCTGAGCAGGCACAGATCCGAAAAACCCTAGGCGACACACTTCTCGTTCTCGCGTTGAACAACTAGGCGCTCGACGCGACGGTGACTCTCCTTCGCTCCTGAGGATCTCCTCTGCTGCGGCGCTTGGTTGACCAAGCGGCGGTGTCCTTCTCAATGGCAGCGGCAAGAGACTTGCTGCTGGTTTTTTCTTGTTTCCCCTTGACAATCAAGAACGACTTTCTTGATGCAATAACCGGCGGTCCTAATCTCCAATCTTGAGATTCTTATTGGCCTTTGTTGTGGTGAAGCCGTTTAATCCAGTCCTTCGGATTAACTAGATTGAAACCAGAGCTTAATTCAATCGGTGATTAACAGAGAGATGCGTAGTTGTTGTTGTTCCTATTTTTATAAGCTCTGATACCAATTGTTGGAAACAATCTCTTTATTATAACTGGAAAATAACTCAAAACCAATTACAATAAACTCTCATATGTTTCTCATATGGCTCTCATATCAAAACCCAAGGCTTGGCTATGATATATATAGTGTTAACCCAACTTGGCCAACAAGTAATCTAGGATCCATAATTCTATTCCTACTTGAACTAGAATATCTCGGGTAATCCTAATCCTACTCGATAATTAGTNAATTGTTGGAAACAATCTCTTTATTATAACTGGAAAATAACTCAAAACCAATTACAATAAACTCTCATATGTTTCTCATATGGCTCTCATATCAAAACCCAAGGCTTGGCTATGATATATATAGTGTTAACCCAACTTGGCCAACAAGTAATCTAGGATCCATAATTCTATTCCTACTTGAACTAGAATATCTCGGGTAATCCTAATCCTACTCGATAATTAGTCAACAAACTACGCATCATCCTCCCAGGGATCATTGTGTGGCACATTTGGAAGGAATACAATAGAATAATCCACGACAATGGTTTCATTAACACCAACAAGGTTCGCTACAAAATTCTAAATACACTCAAGGATTGGAGCTGGAAAAACAGACGGAAAAAATGGATGCTAAGGGATAATAATCTAGCAAACCTGGGTTTCAATTTCTTCTTCTTGTCTGGGAAAGAATTGAAAGGAAGAGTTCATGCGCTCCAAATCGACCCACAGAGGAATGATGAATGCTCGTATCGCAGAGGAGAGGGCTAACTTCCAAGTTTCTTGGAGTGAGTACGAGGATATTTGGACATCTAGATTTGGTACTATGTAAGAGTTTAAGCTTTTGTTCTAATAGGTGCTACCTTTCCTTTTCATTGGATTTTGTGTTTCTTTGTATTATTCCTTACTTTCGGGGTTAGGTCAGGTCCCCCCAAACGTTTTTTGAACGTTTACTTTCAGAGCTTTGGTCTAGTCCTCTCCGAACGTGTACTAAAATAGTTTATTTAATAATACTTGGTAAGGGCTGCCTGGACCTTACCCCACCGCAATTGGTGGAAATTTCGGGTTTATATATATATATATATATATATATATATATATATATATATATATATATATATATATATATATATTTTGGTTCGGGTGAGAATGCGATCTTAGGAGAGAAATGAGAATGAATCTGGTGCTTTAGATTGTGAGATCTAAGGGCCAGGATTGCATCAAAATCATATGCACCAAAATGGTTTAAAAATGCATCACGTCAAAATGCACCAAAATCCTTTGAAAATGCACTATCTCAAAATCTGAGCGCAGGATGCAATCTGAGCCGCACGATGCATCCAATCCAATGGCTAGATTTTATTCTCATTTCTCTCCACAAGGTGCATTCTCACGGGAACCAACCCCTATATATATATATATATATATATATATATATATATATAGGAAAAACTATTTTCAAACAGCTAATTTTACCAAACATTTTTAACGATCAACCAATTTATTCTGGGAGTCAAACCAGCTAAACTAAACAGTCATTCACAACAGCTGGCACAAACTGCCAACAGCCAAACAGCTGACAGTCCAAACAAACCAAGCCTTAGTGTTGTTACTGTTGTACCATGTCATATACACTCCCCCAATTTGCCCCAGCCGTTAGAAACACCGTCTATCAGTATATTCCAACTCTCCTTTAGGTAAACCATCCAAACACAACCCGGCTAAGGCCCTGTTCCGTTCAACTTATTTTTTCTTATTTTTTTTCTTATGTTTTTCGTATTCTTATTAAAATCAGATCAGATCAGACCAGACCAGATCAGATCAGATCGAATCAGATCAGATAAGATCGAATCAGATCAAGACTTATTAAAATCAGATCTCATCAAGAATTATTATTATTATTATTATTATTATTATTATTGTTATTATTATTATTATTATTCTTAAAAATGAAAAAGAATAAATTTTAGAAATATGTTAAATAGAAAATTGAGAAATTAATCCTTAATTATTAGTTGTCGGAAAAATTAGTTTTAAAATATATTGACAATGTCAATCTAATTCTAATTTTAAAATATATTTTTATTGCTACTTGTAATTTGAGTTTCTAAAGTTTTGATCTTTTATAAGGATGAGATATTTTAATAAAAATACTATCCTTTCTATATATTGATTATCTACATTTAATTAATTTTTAATGTATATCTAAATTAAATATTTATTCGAATGTATATATGAAGTAAATATTAAAATATTAAATAAATATTCTAATTTCACAAAAAATAATCATAAAATAAAAAATATTATTACATTATAATCTGAATGATTATTCTAATATATGAATTAACTATTTTTATTTTATT